ATCAGGGGTACTGTTGATGGAGGAAATCTTGCACCACCTTAAGTCCCTAAAGTCCTAGGAATTACAGTAGTTTAGGGCCCCTAGGTGGTGCAAGATTTCATCCATCAACAGTATTAAGGGGGATACTAAGAGTTTAAACGATGGCTCCAATGGGCTCGTTTCAGACTTCGAACTATTGAGTTTTTTGCTAAACACTCTTGATATAATATGAATCCTTGCACCAGGCTATTTCCTGCAGATCCTGGGAATTGCAGTACGGCCAATGCATTCGATAAGAACCGGGCGTAGATGAGATTAGACCCTGGACATTTCTTATTGGGGCACCCTGCAAAGAAAACGATATGATCCCAATCCAAACTTTGACCAGCCTCCAGCCCCTCCAGCCCCTTCAGCCCCTCCAGCCCCTCCAGCCCTCAGCCCCTCCAGCCCTCCGCCTCCAGTTCAGCTTTCAAACCAAACACAAAGCAGGGGCTGGAGGAGCTGGAGGAGCTGGAGGCTTCCTTTTGCTTTGCGTTCGGTTTGAAAGTGGAGCGATAAGAAATTCGGTTCAGCTGGGCTGGAGGCTGGAGAGGCTCCAGCCCTTCCAGCCCTCATCGCTCTCGCACCGGGCGCGAGCGAGGCCTAGGGGGGCTGGAGGGGCCAGAGCAAAGAAAGATTGAGGAGCGATAAGAAATTCGGCCTAATTTGGATGCTGGGTTAAGAAATTCCAATCTGGCCAGCCTCTGATTTCTTGTTTGGAACGATATCTTTTTGAGTGCACTCACCGTAGCTTACGTACCCTAAGTGGTGCACTTTTTCCTCCATCAACTGTATTCAAATCATCCGGAGAACCTCAAAGCTTGGGAAGCCACGTTGCCCGCACAACCTCGGCTCTTTCTGCACCAGCTTGGTAGACCTTGCTTCACGGGACCTAGCTTGGACCTTAGACCCTTAACCCTTTGGGATTCCCTCATATTCCTATTCTGGGTACCCAAAGGGTTAACCCTTAGTAGGGGTCCTAAGTGCCACGGAGTTTGAAAAGGCGCCAAGATTACCCAAGAATCTCCATGAGCATGCGCGTAATTTCTGTCAGTAATCCTAAGAACCAGCTGAAAGGATGATTTCAGCGACACATGAGCCATAATCTAAACTCCTTCAAGGGGGTTATATAGGGGATTATATAGGGGACTACTATAGGGGTTATTAAGGGGGGTACTAGGAGTTTAGACTATAGCTCACATATTTCGGCCCATTGTTGCCCGAATTGTAACTCCCCCTGAGCTTCCAAGGTACGCCCTTTCGCTCAACTAACAGTCCTGACATACCCCTTGTAGAGAGAGCGCTTGTGGACTGCCATGGTGCTGTCAGCGGTAGCGGTGCGGCGCTCATTGAAGGATAACCTCGAGAGGTGGCCGTAGGAGCACGCCGTTTGACCGGATCCATTGCTATCTGTCGTGGGGCTGTTTGCCGCACCCCTCTCAGTTTGCAAAGGACTAGGGCATGAGTGACTCCTGGGACTCATTTTTGCTTGTTGGTTTGTGTTGAGGTGCTGCCTTGAGGACTGATACTGGTCGCTTCTTGGGCTCAGGCGAGTAACCCTCCATGCAGACAAGCAAAGAAAGAACATACATGGAGACTGGGCATATGTAGGTATGGCACACGGAGCATAGTGTTTGGATGGGGACCATTTCACGGGGAGGGGATTTGTCTTCAGCACTTTTTCTTGAGGTTCCCGATCTGCTACTTTTGCACGTGTGGGAGTTTCTCAAGGTAGACCCTCCAAGTAGGGATCTTCGTGGTATCTGCGTGACCCCCATTTATCCCTAAGGTCCGTAAGGGCTACTATTTACTAGAAGCAGGGAACGCATCGTTTCGCAACTAAAATTCCAAGACTGTTCTGAGGAGATGGATCTCGTCTGCAGCCCGGCCTACTGCATGTTCATCGCAAGGCCATCTCTGACGCTACTTACTTGCGGGGCTCGCGGGATAATTACTGGGTATTTGGACCCTCTGGGTTATACTGCTCGGTGTTTCAATCAAGAACACGTCATCGCTTATCTGCAGACGCGTTTTCCTGCTTACACGGTTCAGGGTTTGGGTTTTAGGGGCTAGGGTTAGGACCATCGAGGTACGCATTCAGTACTTCTAGTGGCAATGTGAAAGACACCCTAGTAAGTGATGTTGCTGATTTTCATTGTGGCGTGTGCTATGCATTCTTCTGTTGATGCAGCAGATGAAAACCACGCGAAGCTAGCCCGCTCGTACTGCCTCCCCTAAACGAATCAGAGGTGGGGTGCTTGGCACACGATGTGGTAGTGGTATCTGTGCACAACGGATGGTCTTTGGTGCAGGGTTAAGGGTAGTAGCAAAGACCCGTTTACAGTTTGCAGGAGTTTGTTTTTCATGTTGCCAAGCTGCTGCCCACAAGCATGCGGGAAAAAAAACAAGAGGAAATGGAAAGTTGTTGAAATCATTGCATTTTTTGGTTACTTCATTTATCTAATCTATATATACCATATATCCATCATATATAAAGGATAAATTGTACCTGTATGTATATACGTACATCAGTTATCACGGGTACCAAAACGATACGATGATTCCATATTTTTTGACAGGCCCCAAGTCATTTCTTTGGCTTCTCAATTTCATGGTTGTCCTTTTGTACTATGGATGGAGACTCGCCTGCTTCTGTGGAACCAGCCGGTGCTGCAATTCTGGTCGTCATCATCGTGCCGGTTTACCCTACAACCTCCCTCCACCTCCCTCCGCCTCTGCCTCCTCTTGTTGTCTTTTGTTCTGTGTGGCTGTAGCTGCAGCGGTTGGGATTGTTGACGGGTGAACTGAGTGTTGGTGGGGGCTGTGACAGTCACTTTATTCCTACAGGTGCTCGTATACTTGTTGTTGCTGCGTTTTGTATTCTAGGGGCGGGGTCCTAGGGCCAGGCAGGGCACATCATATAGGGAATATAGGCCGTTACTTTAAATCATAGACGCAGTTGTTGTTTTTTTAAGAAAAGGGGTCCTCCTGCTATGCGCCAACTTATTTTCACCGTTGTCAAAGGACTCCCAAAACGGTTTTCTGATTCTTGGAAGGGGCGCATGGATAAACTTGAGATGTAGTTCTGAATGTTGTCATGGCCTTTGAAAACTTTGAACGCAAGAGATTGAAGCTCTAAAATGTTAAGCCCTAAAGCAATGGGTGGTGCCTTGCCTGAAGCCAATGTCGCTTCATGGGCCTCTGTGCCACTGGCATTTGCACGCACCTTGTAAACCAAATATGTGTCTGGCAGCCGTCCAGTTCACTTGAGTAGTATTCTTCTTAGGGATACTATGGTACCCAATATAGAGTAAGATTATATCCTCTTTTTGGGGTATAGTATTTCACATAAGGAATATAATCTTACTGGGTTTAACCACCCAAAAAACCGGTCCTCAGTTGGTTTTGGGGTTTAGGGTTCAGTATGCCCGAGCTGACAGGGGTATAAACTTTGAGCCGTGGACACTGTGGAGAAGGAGCAAGGAGATTCTCATGTGAAAGTGTCTTCTAGAAGAGAGGTGCTATAATTTGCAGCGAGGTATCTCCCCAAAACGGCGCCCTTGATAAACATAAGCAAACTCCAAGATCTAACCGTCATACCTAGAAACAAGGTGAATTACCATTTATGGATGTACAAAGCCCTTTGTACTAGGTATTCTGGTTACCCTGACTACGCCCGAAACTCTAAACTCTAAACCGCAAACCCTAAACCCTCCTTTCTGGCGCACACCCAATCTGCAGGCGGAGGAAAAGCTTGGCAGAGGCTAGCCACCGTTGGATTGGCAGTATACTGGGAGTTTAATGGGATTCAGCAACTCCCTAGGGATATCTAGGAGTGTATAGGGTTCAAGGTTGCAAAGTCTGGTAGTACACTGAGGTTTAGAGGTTTAGGGCTTGGGGCTCAGGTTTAGGGTGTAGGGATCAGGGATTAGCATTTGCTGTTTTGCCTCTTTGGTCTATTGATATTTCGTTTTCGTCAGCCCTAAACCCAGGATGTTGGCACATTCGGTCCAGATAATTCCAGGGTTTGGGGTTCACGGTTTACACAAACTAGAGGGACGATTGCCAGCAGGTTCCAGGCTACAAGTAACCTTGTAGGACCAGAATAATAGTAGAATCGTAGCTACCTACACCTCTGATGTACACTACCCAACAAGAAGTAGGTATCCTAGGAGTCTATTGGGCTTGCAGAAGTCGAAGACAAGTCTCTCAAAGGGTATAAAGTTGCGTCTTCTTAGTACCTGCAATTCCCAAATACCCACGCACTTCTCATCCGCATGTTCCCCTCCGCTGAAAAAGTGACAGCTTTCTTTTGCACCGGGCCTGGTGCCCAGACTTGCTGGGGTATGGCCCAGCTGAGAGAGCGATGGAGTTGGCAACAGTCCCGGCCAAGCGTGGCTACTGTAGAGGCAGTCACATGCCACCGGCCGCTCCCCAACATATCTCCGTGTGCTGAGCTCGCGATCTTGATACCAATCCCTTAAATTCTCGACCTAACCTTGATCCCTAGCCCTGCACCAATCCCTCAAACCCTGCAGCCCAATATCTTAAACCTTTGACTTCCTTCAATAACCCATGTAAATTATCAAGGCCCCTACACGTACTCAAATTACCTGGGAACCAGATTGTATCGGCTTTGTCCCTTTACCCCGCGCCTAATGATTAAGAACAAGCCTTCCGCCCAGTATGTAACAGTGGGTGAAGGTTTCTGGATACCCTAAACCCTAAACCTCCATAAACCCTGAGTAACCCTAAACCCCTATAGCTATCCTAAACCCTGTGAGGCCGGTCAAAACCGGACGGCGGCAGAGCTCCAAGCTGCCAACCCCTCAGAGCCGTGCTGTTACTTACTAGTTGGAATAAGAGAATATGATCCTTATATGAGCTATAGTCTAAACTCCTTAAAGGGGGTTTATATAGGGGATTACATAGGGGACTACTATAGGGCTTTTTAAGGGGGATACGAGGAGTTTAGACAATGGCTCACATGGGTGGTTGTCAAAATTATGGTCCCTTTTTGGATCCCTATTATAATACGGCACCTAACGTTTAGGGTACCCGAAAAGGGGCCATAATTTTGACAACCATCTATATAATACATTCCCTACCAGCCCCCAGTAAGATCAGTAAAGTTTTGGCTGTAAGGGTTGAACAGTTTGAGGATGGCGGGTTGCGAGCGTTTCAGGGTTTACCTGGGCCTCCCGCATTCTTGAAAATGGAGCACCTCCTCATGCAGAAGGACCCCCCTAAAAGACGCTGGTAGTTCCTAACCAGGATCCTCCAAGGAACCGTTCGCGCATGTTTGTGCTTTAAGCCCTCAACCCTAAACCTTCAGCGTTACCCAGGAGTGGAGAGCCTTGAGCACCGAGAAAAAGGAGTTGGAGTGCTCTGCTGGAGGTTCGGAGAGGTGCCGCTGCTGTGTACAGCCACAAGGTTAGGGTTCGCGGTTTGGGGTTTAGGATTTAGGATTTGGGGCTTAGGGTGTGGGATTTAAGGTTCGGGACTTGGAGTTTAGGGTTTGGGACGGGAGGTTTTAGGGTTTGTTCATGGTTTAAGCTTGGAACTCTTAACCTTTGAGGCAGAGATGCACCTATACCTCTAAACCCTCACCTTTACAAACCCTTATGCGTTAGAGACCTAACGATCCGCACATAATTTCTTTTCTTCTTCTAGCCGACAGGTTCAACATGAGTTTGGGGGATAGGGTGCAGGTCGAATAGTTAGGGTAACCCTAAATCATGGGGGTCTGTATAGAAAAGATTCCTTCGGTTGTCCTAAGGGAGATTAGGGAGTCAGGAAGAGTTGAGGTTTCAGGGTTGAGGGGTTAGAGTTTTGGGTTTTGGGGTTTAGGGTTTGGCGTTTAGGGTCTGGAGTTTATTGCTTAAGGTTTAGCAGTTTAGCGTTTAGGGTTTAGGGTTTGGGGTTTAGAGTTGAGGGTTAAGCGTTCAGTTATGTTTTGTCTTTTTTCCCCTTGAAGAGCATTGTCATATGCGGGGCACCTGATAAGACACAATGTTGGAGGGCTGCTGACTCCTGACGCTGTATCTACAAAATCCGCCACCTTCATATGAACTATAGCCTAAACTCCTTAAAGGAGTTATTTAGGGGATTATATGCGGATTACTATAGGGGTTATTAAGGGGCATACTAGGAGTTTAGAGGCTCTGTCTTGACAGTCCTTGATATACACCCTAAAACCCAGACCTGGGGTACCTCCCAACTCTGTAGCAGTTGGGTACTATACAGAATACATTTAATACATAGCCCGTAAAATGACCCCTAAGATGGACTTTTACTGGGTGGGGGCAATACCCAAGCTAAACCCTAAACAAGCTTTGTAGTGTCTTTGGGTGCCGAAGAGGGATACAAGCATCCCTCATTTCATCTTGCGGATGGACCCTAAACCCTAAGCTCGAATCTTGAACCCTATACCTTAAACTCCACATATTGAACCCTAAACCCCAAACTCTGCATATTGAATCCTAAAGCCGAAACACTGAAACCTAAAGCGTGTGGGTGCGCAGGCCCGGCTCGGCAGCAGCCGTGATGCAGACCTTTCTACAGCAGAAGGAGCAGTAGACTCTCCCAGCTTTAGGAGGTTTATGGTTCAGGACGGGTAATATCGGCCTCAGATTTCAAGGTTGAGGGGTTTCAGGTTGTGGGGCACAGGGTTTAGGGTATCAGGCGTTTCCGCTTTAGAGTTTTTTTGTTCAAATGTAGGTTTGGGCTTTCGGGGTTTAGCATCAGGTGAGCAGCTGCTGGCTGCCCGTCAGACCAGCGCGAGCCCTCATACATACAGCGCTTGCCCCTGCTGTGCTCATAGGTTCTGGGTAGGCCCCGCGGATATTTAATATTTTCCCTAATGGCTTTAATAGGGAACCTTATATATAGCAACAAGTTTCAGAGGGTTCTAGGGGCCAACCCAGTGTTTAGGCTTCAGGGTCTGGGGGTCAGCGCCAATAGGCATGGGGTAAGCATCCGGTTACAGTCAATTCAGCACTCCAGGACTGTGGGCATCAAAATTTGCTCAAGTACGGATATGTGGTATACTTGGGATCATAAACTCCATAGTCTAAACTCCTTAAAGGGGGTTATACAGGGGATTAATCCGAGCACTTGATTAATTTGCCCCCCCCCCGCCGCCAGAATAAGGAATGAGGGGCGCCAGATTAAAAGAATGATCGGGACCCTTGGAACTCAATTACAAAAAAGTAGTAATGCATTCCTGCGTCATTGGGGCTCTGGGACCTTTATTTAAAAATGAATAGGAATGTATTGAATATCTTTATTGTCAGGATAGGCTCCCCGAAAATTTTCTTTAAATCTATACGAAAAGTCACCAAGTTGTAGCTAGTCTTTGGACCCTAATTCTATCCAAAAAAAATCTTAGAACATGGTCCCTTTATTGTTCTAGTGCTCGGATTATATACGGGAGTATTATAGGTAGATTCCATGCAAGGCTCGGCAGGGCTTATTATAGCAAATTTGGGATTCAGTGCCGTACCCTCCCTAACAAAAATCGAGGCTCGCGTGGATAAGTTCATGAATCCCCAAACCCTCATCCCCAAACCCTAAACCCCAAACCCTACTCCCTAAAGCCTCATTCCGAATCCCTAAACCTGCAGTTATGTCTGGAACGGTCCTGGGCCGCTTGTCAAAGCAAATATTTGCTTTGGGTCGCTGACCACTTTAGGGGCCCTAACCCTAAACCCTAAATTAACCCTGAGGGATTAGGGTTTGATAGCAGGACAGGCCTGAATGAATGTCTACCTGCACTACGCCTGAAGGCTCTAGGGTTTAGCAATCAGGGTTTCCCAGCTACGGTGGACTTAAAATTCCTGCACGACCCCAAGTACCTTATATAGCATCTCATGCCTTAATAGTTCTGGTCTCATAGTAGTATTTTACCTGGACCCCAAGAGTAGGTAACATGATAGCCTAAACAGTAGCCCAAATGGCCATTATTCCACATACCTTTGGGGTTCCAGTATAGGATACTGAGGTCAAGCAGGATTTCGAATGTCACTCAAACCCTACACCCTAAACTCTAAACGCCTCACCCCAAACCCTAACCCCTAAAACCTAACCCCTAAACCCTAAATAGTATACAACTCCCCCCTCTCTCGCACGTCGAGTTGGAATTCAAAGAGGATAATCCGTATCAATGGTGTGTGTTTTGGGTCTTGGGTGTAAATGAGGCCTTAACTCTGAATAATGAATCGGAGGTTCATGGTCACTGCCCCAAGTGACGATAGAAGGTGTATACGTAGCCCAAAGAAGGCTCAATCTGCTTTTGATAATATGTGCCATAGTCTAAACTCATTAAAGGGGGTTTGAGGGATTACATAGGGCAGTACTATAGCGGTTATTAAGGGGGATACTAGGAGTTTAGACTATGGCTCATATCCGCTCAACAGTAGCCTTATTCATGAGGGACCCTCAACCATGATGATGGAGAATCAAACGAAAATTACAATGGAACATGAAATGGAAACTAGGGTCTAGGGTTGAGAGTTTAGGGTTGAGCTACTGTTCATACTAGATTCATTCAGCGGCCCTCGTGGACATGGGGATCCATCTGGTAGTTAAGTGTAGTCCGTAAAATCGTCCCTGATAAGGAACCCATGTCCATGAAATTATGTAGGAAATATACCCCAAACCCTAAACCCATTGAATTATGTGTGAAATATTGGCTGTAGCTACTATCAGATACGGCCTTTGACGCTTTGAATTTCGTTTAGGGAGCAGGGTTCTCCAGAACCCTGCATCCAGAAACTACAAGGGCTGTCCTGAATGCAAGCCGTTAACCCCAAAAGCGAAACTTTTTCTCTGAGGTTGCTCCATTGTTTAGGGTTTAGGAGGGTTTAGGGGTCAGGGTAAGTACGAAGCTTCTAGAATTCTGTCATGGGCACGCGTAGTCCTTTTTGCCGAGTGTGCCCAAGTTGTCAACGTTCACGTATCCGTCCACTAGCAATCAAGCTATAGTCTAAATAAACTCCTTGTAGGGGATTATATAGGGAAGTATTGTAGAGGTTACTAAGAGGGAAAACTAGGAGTTCAGACTATAGCTCAGATGAAGGTTCCTACTTTGAAGTTTTGATTCTCAGATCCCTGCATGCAGATGTTTTCCCACTTCCGAGTCTCTTTTTAGCGTAACAAACCCTAAATCCTAAATCGCTCAGTGCCATCTATTACATTCCTACTATGTTCTTCAGGTTCCCTGTTTGGGGTTCCTATGTTCCTCCCTTCATAAACCCTAAGCCCTACCTAAACCCCAAAAGCATGTAAGATAATAGCCCTAAACCCCCAATAATAGCCATAAAGGCCGTTATTTTACGTACTTTTGGGGTCCAGGTATCCGTAAGCCTACCAGGAGCAGATAAAGGCGCGACCGCCGCCGGAAAGAGCGCTGAGCCTTTGCGAAAGCGCAGGGTTCAGGGTTTAGGGTTTAGGGTTTAGGGTTTAGGGCTTAGGATTTAGGGCTTAGGATTTAGGGTTTAGGGTTTAGGGTTTAGATCCTAAACCCTAACCCTGAACCCTAAACCCAAATGTAGGGGCCGACATGAGCTGGAGTCTAAACCCCTTCCAGGTGGGCATATTGGTTTTTTTTTGGGGAGTATTATAGCGGGTATCAAGGAGGATACAAGGAGTTTAGACTATAGCTCACATAAGGGGATTGCTTCTAATTAGGGACTTATTAAAGATATTTCAAATAACGGACTCATCAGGAATATTTCACATTAGGGACTTGTTAGCGAAAGTAGGGACTGATTGGGCACTAGTTGGAATTACAGTCTTTTGACTGATCATTTGAAATTAGAGTGTGATTAGGGACTATTTCAAATTAGGGACTTATCAGGGACGAGTTCAAATTAAAATCATCTTGAAGATTCTTTAATATTGGACCCTATTAAGACTGTTTGAATTTACGGCCCTTTTAGAGTGTAGCAAAACAGCTGTCACAAACTAGTCTCTGCTTGAACGTGCCTGTTCGAACTTGACATGGTGCATGTACTCGAAATCCCACGCATTCTCGTATTTTTTGCAATCTCCCCCCCCACCTCCCCAATTTTGTGGCCGGGAATCCGCCGCTGACCAAGTAGTTACTCATAATTCCTTGACTGTCTTGCTATAACTGTAGCAGATGGTCTGCCAATGCATCGTTTGGATCATTTGGGCCTCCATGGCCCCAAAAAGTTCAATTGTCTGGTCCCCAACAACAAGACCCAACCCCTAAACTCCAAACTCTACCCCTAAACCCTACACCCTATATAACTCATTGTAGCAGCTTCCATTTTTCCATTATCCCGATATAACCCCAATATAACCCTAAAGCCATGACACTCTAAGCCATCCTAGACCCCCCACGTACCCTCTATAAACCCTAAACATCTACAAATAAGGCCTACATAGACCCTATTTTAGGGTACTTGCGGGGGGGTCTAGGATGACACCTCGAACCCAACAACCCTAAACCCTATATAACACATTGTAGTAGCTGCCATTTTCTTTTCCATTATCTCAATATAACCCCAGTATGTACCTTAAAACGCATATTTTGCTGTCGAGGATGCCCTAAACCTTAAAACCTAAACCTTAAGTCCTAAACTTTAAACCCTAAACCCTAAATCCTAAACCCTAAACCTTAAACCCTAAACCCTAAACCCGAAACCTTAAACCCTAAAGCCATGACATTCAAGCAAGGAAAAGCGCTCGCAGCGCCAAGCACGAACCCATCCCAGCTCCGATCTTCCCAGCGAAGAGGTCGAGTTGGGCGGGGAGGGGGGGGGGGATTAGGGTTTAGGGTTTAGGTTTTTAGGTTTAGGGTTTAGGTTTCTAGGTTTAGGGTTTAGGGATTAGGGTTTAGGGTTTAGGGTTTAGGGTTTAGGTTTTTAGGTTTAGTGTTTAGGGTTTAGGGTTCAGGGTTTAGGGTTTAGGTTTTTAGGTTTAGTGTTTAGGGTTTA